AACTACTTAGTACTATTGTCTGTGTACTAGTTACTGCAGAAGTTATTATATCTGTTGGTAGCTGACTTCTAGATATGCTTGGTGTTGAGATGATACGAGTAGTTTCAATGAATGAACTGCTACTTATAACCGGAGTTGGTTGAATACTACTGGTTACATGCAATGATGGTTGCATACTACTAGTAATACCTGGTGTTGGTTGTATACTACTGGTTATACCTGGTGTTGGTTGTATACTACTGGTTATACCTGGTGTTGGTTGCAGACTACTGGTTATACCTGGTGTTGGTTGCAGACTACTGGTTATACCTGGTGTTGGTTGTATACCACTAGTAATACCTGGTGTTGGTTGCAGACTACTGGTTATACCTGGTGTTGGTTGTACGCTACTAGTGATACCTGGTGTTGGTTGCATACTACTAGTAATATCTGGTGTTGGTTGTATACTACTAGTAATACCATGTGTTGGTTGTATACTACTGGTTATACCTTGTGTTGGTTCTATACTACTAGTAATACCTGGTGTTGGTTGTATACTGCTAGTTACACCCAACTGTATACTACTTGTTGAGAATGGTTCAATACTGCTAGTTGGTGATGGTTTGATACTGCTAGTAGACTGTTTAATAACACTAGTTGTATACTGGATACTGCTTGTTGATAATGAATAAATACTGCTAGTTGATGATAGTAGATACGTTTCACATTCTGGTCCAGTATACTCCGGTAAACAGATACAATTGTAACTTAAACCATCACTTGTACATGTGGCTCCATTACTGCACGGTTGACTCAAACACTGATCAACGTATTCACAGTAAGTTCCCACAAACCCATACGGGCAAACACAGTAATATCTATCAGGCTGGGGATGCACACATGTGGCTCCATTCAGACATGGTGAGCTGGCACACACATCCAACTCGCAGTGATCACCAGTATAACCCATTGGACAGATACATCGGTATTGATTCAATTCATCGTAACAGGTACCAGCATTCTGACAGGGATCAGACAGACACTCATTAACTTCATATTCACAGTGTATTCCACCGTATCCAGGTACACAGTAACAAATGTAGCCTTCACCAACTGATTTCTGTCGACATATACCACCATTCACACATGGATTTGACGCACATTCATCAACATCAATGGTACATGTTTCACCAGTCCATCCTGTAAAAGCAAACAAAAGTCATATGAAAATCATCTACATCATCTATGTAATACTGGAAAATACTTTATTTTAGCTGGAATTAATTTTCACTGAAAAGACTTTTTGGTGTTTTGTATGAAGTTTAAAACACAGGGAAAAAGGTACATTCGATGGATTTTATTTTCACTGAATCATTCCTACAGCAAAAATAGCGAAAATTTTAGCGAGCATTTTACAGTAGTGTGTTCATTACTTGTTAATAAGTAACATCTTTTGGAAAATCTAGTACACATGTTATTGATGTAATAATGAGAACTATGTCTAATCTTGTTCTTAACTCCACCTTTGCTAAGTACAGATCACAAATGTGATTGAACTACACTATAATGGTAAATAGTCTCAATTCATTGTGACAAACTTTGACAAACTCCACATTGCTCAGTATGGCCATAATATGGGAAATAATTTTGGATCATTTGGTATGTGTGTGCCCGAATGCAAATGGTCGCCAGAATCTTTTTGAATGCGAGAATGCCAGATGACTTGTTTTTGCTCCTAAAATTGAATTGAGTCCACTCGTCCCCTGACCTGTAACCATTTGAAACATCGGTCGTGGTGATGTGATAGAATGAAAAGTGTCAATTTGCATTAAAGGTTTATTTCAGTGGTTCTGAAAATTATATGGACATTCAGTTAGATCATGATGGCTTGCAACCATGCAGAACATTTGGCAGTTGTTTTGTTCTAGAATAGTATGGGACTATTTCATGGCCAACACAATGATTTGCAAATCTAGAGTACATATTCAACAACTAACAAACACATGTATTTTGAAAACTGCACTTTACCCTCATAAAGTATGCTAATGAATGATGTAAACCGCATGTGTCGGTGGTGCCATCAAGATTGGGTAATGTAGCCATCTTGTGGAATTACTGTCTTAATAAATCTCAAAACCATTGTAACTATTGTTAAAGCCAACACAATAATATTTTGGTGATGAAATCAAGATAATAACCAGAAACTAGGTCTTATATTTTCCAATGCGAGTAGATTACTAGTAACCAGGACTCACTCACCTTGTGTGCAATTACAAGCATAGCCATTAACTTCATCAAGACACACAGCATCATTCTGACAAGGATTACTGACGCATTCATTAATATTAATCTCACAATAATTACCAATAAAACCTGCAGCACAGCTGTAACATAAGCAGAGAGTCAAGTATCATTTCATCTGAGCAGACCCACAAAAAAATTATATTTAAAACTATTCAGATAAGATATGATGTTAGAGAACCCAAAATTCAACAATAACATGGAACAAAAGGTATTGTGATCTTTTGTTTTTGAAATTGCAAATGATTGATCAGAATGTGGTAACATTCATGAAATAAATTTACTCCGAGTCAATATTCAGAATTATAACTCATGTTACTAAGTCATACAAGGATGTTGGTAAATTCCATTTGTACTTTTTAGTTTATTCAGTAGACAAGTAAATCTCAGTGGTAGGTCAATATTTTCAACGAATATTGACCTCAACAATATTCTTCTTTGGGGCACCAAAATTATAACTGAGGTAATGTGTGTGTACATGTACATGTACATGACAGATG